TGTGTTTATATGGTGAAATACTCATAGAAAGGTATAGATATAACAGTACGTAATAATGTTGTCATGTCAACATTGTTATAAGTTTTTAACATGTATTACAGTTTGTTATAGTTTAATATTTTTTATTACGAAATATATTTTTTTAAATACATTATTTTTAACGCTAATCATTATAAGCTTAAAATTTACCAAAGATCGTGGATATATAGTTTTCTCTTGGGTATAATCACACTTATCATACTTCATACTAATATTCAAAATGTGAAAGTTTAGATGGATGGATGTTTGTTAGAGTTAGTAGCCTAAACTGCTGAATGAAATTTGACACACATATAGAGGATAGTCTGGAAGAAAACATAGGATACTTGGTTTTATTTTTTAATACCACGCGGACGGAGTCGCGGGCGAAAACTTGTAACTTCTAATGAATTAGACTGATTGTAATGTTTGTTTATATAGCATACATATTCATTATGTCTAGTTTATTATAAATGCGAAAGTGTAGAGGGATGCAAAGTTACTACGTAACAAAACGGCTTAATGGATCTCTAGTTTAGAAGAACATGCGCTTATTTGTATTCTTCATTTCTAATTAATTCACGGACAAAAGCTATATAAGAATACAAGTGTATCCTACTCTCTTTATCTACTGACAAATTTGTACACGAATATTCTTCCCTTAAAAACAAAAGGGTAATATAACTTAGTGTGTTTTAATAGTGGGAACTAAGAGATAGTGTCATTATGTAGTTCTGTTTGTACCCTCCGTCTTTTAAAGGTATATGCGTCTGTTATTGCAGAAGACTATGTACACTATTCGATTTGTTATTTCGGTGTACACAGCTGGCCGCTCTCTCGTTTGCCGCCTTATAATGTAAAAAAGGTAAAATGAAACAAATGTAACTTCAACAAATGAAAGAAATTTATTGTATACAGGTTTTAAATATCCTCGCACATTCTTACACCTGCTTCACCAGCCACGTTATTAAGATATTTAACGTAAAGATACAAAGATCTTATAGATAAAGGACATTACATAATATGAAAAAATTTCCACCTTCAAATGATTCTACACAAGTTATACATTAGTTAATATGTACGTAAGAAAAACAGTTCTACAATACATTGTGTACAATTCCACAATTTCAAATCAACACCTTTTTATTTTTAAGTCGCCTAGCGACGTTTCTGGACGATATTTTTAACATTTTTTAAATTTTTTTTCTACCAAAAAAATGTCAGTCGAATCTGTTTAGCGTCACGAATTGATTTTTTTCGTTTTCATCTCGTTTATTTTTAAAAATTTGACTAGAATACATTAATGTTGTGCCAATTCACTGTATTTTTCAACATCGTTACGTCGCCAATCTTTCCACTATATTACGTGTTTGTTTTAACAAATGTGAGTAGTAAATTAGATAAAAACCTATTAAACATCACTTTTCTTACTGAGGAAGTGAGTAATATATATTATCTATAATAAAAAAATAAATTGAATCGCTTAAATTAACGCGAAATCATCTGTAGTGACAAACAATGATATAATAATAATAAAAACTAAAGGAACAAAATAACAAAAATAAAGAGGCGAGTAAGGTATATTGAAAAAATATTCCATTAAAACTTGTACTCAATAATTAAATAACAATATTATAATTTGATCTTGTCAGCTCCTTTAGCAGTTTATATATTATTAAAAAAAAAACATGAGCCGTTGGAATAATTCATTAGGAATTAACAGCGTCTATACATTGGTCCATTACCTAACTTTTTTTTTTAAATCCAATCACAACTAAAACCTTTTTTTGCGTAGACAACACTCTCAAAAATAAGATATGTTTCCCCAGCGTGTGACGTCATTTTACATAAGCGTTATAACTCTTTAAATAAATACACCATGAAAATATTTCCATCAAATTTTACATTAATTAGTTAGTTTTTTTATAAAGATAACATTATATTTAATGTCTAAAATTAAATGCTTCGTGTTGTACATATTTTTTTTAATTAATGAACTCTTGCGCACTGCTTAGCAAGAATAAAAAAAAATCGTATCTTGAATACGCTATTCCCTTCAATGATAATTCTTATATAATAATAATAATAAGTCAATTATTGTAATAATAGTACAATAATTATAATCGTTAAAAATTAATTTTCTAGAAGTACATACGATGTAAAAAGGAAAACAAGATTATTGACAATAAAGGTGAAACTTACGTTTAGAAAAAATTGTATAGAGTAGAATTTAAACACCAGAAGACAAGGAAAACAGATACTTTCATGTCTCCTGTTGTAAAATGTTCGTTTATATACAAGGTTACAGACACACAAACAAACATGTGAATGTTGCTGTGAATTTTCACCACCGAAAAACATCTCGAAAAAATTTAAACGCTATTTTTGTACATGTTTTTCGGTAGTGGAAATAGACAGTAAGAAATAAGAGGTGGCGACGTCTTTGTAAAATTCTGTCGCGCTACAAGTTTCGATATGTCAAAAGTCAGAGTGACAGATCTGTCAATTGCGCGGGAAGTAGGCAACGTTCCGTTTGAAGCGTTATTTGATTTCTACTCGTAGATGTGATTTATAACTTAAGAACATATAAGTTTTTGATTGTAATTCACTATTACTTTAACCAAATAAGAAAAAAAACTATTGTATTCAAAAACAGTATTTGACCTTTAAGTTGGCACGTGTGGTGGAAGATTATTCTTGTTTCCAACGTGCCAAAATAAATATTAATTTTGAAAGTCGCGACAGTCAAATATTTTTTATTAATTGTGCTTACCTTATGAATGTTTAACTTCAAATTTATCAAAGAAAATTATTTAACACATTCAATGTCGAAAAATTGTTTATATGAAATGTGTTAAGATTGCAAAGAAACGGTTAACGATGCAATTAGAAGCAGTGATTTACTTTTCTAAGTTGTGAATTTCCACTGTCTTACTTGTATTGCACACAAGCATTAATTGTCTCTATTTCTGCAAAGCGAATGAGAGAAACAATTTGTCTTTAAGCAAGTGTTTCAACAATGGAAACTCACAGAAAAGTTAGAGAGTAATCGCGAAATAATTTGTTATTACTTGATGAAGCCACCTTCAAAAGTTATATGAATTAAAAAAGTAGAAGAAAGTATTGAGATTTCATACATATAAAACATATTAAAAACATCGTGCTGTTATCTTTTATCAAAATTGTTTCATAGAAAATAAAATGCAACTGCCCTTCATTGTCTTTTTTTTGTTCCCGGACCAGTAAAGGACCGTTCAATACTAATTCTAAATCTTACGGAGAATTTATTATACAATTACGAAAAAAAAATTAACAGAATATTAAAGAATTACTACCGCCTACCTAATAATGAAAATTAACCTACAATATTAACTAAAATTCTTAAAACTATGTGGAAAAATGATCGAACAATATACAATAAAAACGATTCACTAATAAACCAGTGATCTCTCCAAAAAGATAGGATTTCAAGCTTTGAGGTTTCGTAGGATTTTGTTTTTCAAGCCAATAATGTGTTAAAAAGAAAAATATTACCTGTCTAAAAAAAATTCTCTCAGTCCTATTCAAGTATTTAAATTTTTAAAAATATGAAAAAGGTTGCAAGTTGAAACTGTGTTTGTGGCCAGTTAGGAGATCACTGTCAATAACATTAAACTTGTAAAGGCGGCTTATACCATTTGTACAGACCGGCGCAGTGCTGGGCACTTGGCAATTTTCTACTACATATCAGTCGCAACTCTCTTTTTATACCGGGAATTGAAACCCACAAACGCTTTGCACAAAAACAATGACATGTTAAACATCTCAATATAATATAATCCATATATAGGGTTATTTAAAAATAAAGCCACTTAAAAATTAACTAACGTTACAAAATAAGATTAAAACAACATAATGATTTGTTCCCGATGCGAAAAATATTTTATATTATAATTATAAAAAAAATCTAATAACATTCTAAACGGAATGTTTAATAGCTAAATTCTCTTTGCAATTTGTCCCATCCTATTATTTCTGTACAAACTTACACAAAATAACCATTTTTTAAGCTAGCAACAAATGTCAGGCATAACACACAGATTTGTGTACGTATTAATTAAAAGAATTAAATGTTGTTCGATTTTTAAATTTTTGACGTTTGAAATGCGGTCTGGTGGGGCGTTCGACACGACAATGGAATTTAATTGTTTTTTTATTCAGTACAAAAGTATACATATCATCAAAGATTTCAATACATATAGAGACCAATAAATTAATATTATTCTCCAAATATACAAATTTACAAATATCCCAATTATAATGGTTTAAATAAATATTAATTTCTATTTGCTATATTTCATGCAAGCACGAAATATCTGACATTCATTTTTAATACTTATACATGGTAAGTATATAGCGAAAGGCCAATTTATGTATTGTAAATCTTTGATATTTATAAATGCAATAAACATATACAAGTACTAAATGCTTAGATTAAAAATAGTTCAATTTTTACAAACAGAAAGCAAATAGTAATGAGCAACATGCTATCGACTAGTTTTAAAATTTCGAATATAAAAATTTTTCTTTTGTTATCTTTTAAACTTGCATTTGACATGACGTCATTGGATATGTATTTTGATTTGAATATAATTTATTTGTATATTTTATTTTTTGGTAATTACAAAACCACAAAATCAGCTGCGTCCATATTTGTAAAATAAATCGCAGTTTATTATTTATTTGATGATTAAAAAAAATCGCGATATTTTAAATTTTTTCCTTGCCCTAAATTTTATTTTATACAGATTGTCTTTTTTCGCGCAGTCTACTCGGTATAGAATTTATGTCGGAATGTCGAATGCAAGCCATACTCATGGTCTCTGAAGAGAAATGTACGACAATAATCTTTTTAACTTGTATATAATATATGTATATTTTAATTACATACACAATACAAAGACTTCTTAATTTCCATGAGGCGTACATTAACACGTAACTTACAATAAGTAATCGTATGATATTTTTTATCCAAATAGATTTTACCTAAATTTAATCTGGGAGAGCGTATACATTTTTTTTTCAATTTCATCCCTCCGTAATATATTTTCGATTGAACACCAAAAAATTCCACAAATTTGAAGATACTTTTTTTTTGAAGATTTTTGTGCTAGTTATAATTTTAAAGTCGACAAGAATATAATAGTGATTATCCATATTTTTGTATAGTCGATAAAACATTTAAAACTTGGACCATGAAAAATAAGAATATATTTTCTTAAGATACAATAATAGTACATAAAATATATAAGTTTACTAGATGTACCGATGTACGTCCGTGTATATACCATGGTGGGGCCGAAGATGCCCTAGGTCTAGAAGCAAACCGCATTTATAATACCTAAATATCACATTTAGTAATATGGAAATCCACGTGTTAGCTTAGACACAGTTTAAATTACTATTTTTTTACAAAATAATAATTGCACATAAGTCCGAACATATCGATACGAGGCTCTGCAGACATCCGCGCATCCCTACTGTCGCCGTCCCGCTCGCTCGCCCCGCGGCAGACGGGGACAGAGATAGCCCCGAACAGCTAATCATTTCATTCAATATATTACCTATCTAATTATAAAAACACCGCACAAAATATGCGATAGTTCACTTAAAAATCGATAACGTTACACTCATAGCTAGCGTATAATTAATTTGTTACAATTTTTTATTACTTAAAAATATTTAAATAGTTGATTTTATAACATTAACTTTTGGTTGTCTTTCACTTAAAAACAAGGTCAAAAATCGAGGCTTTTCGGATTTTGGGAGAAATTTTGGACAACCTTCTGTCGGTTGCGCTTATAGCGGCATTCGTTTGATGTCTCCCATCTCTACAAATAGGCGCTAACCTTAGTTGTATTTTCTGATTTTCTCAGCCTAAAAAGAAGCTGATAAAAGAAATCTTGTACAAAACTTAGAATAGAGTAATCTAAAAGCCTTATTGAATCGATGTTTTTGTAGAGAAGCGAGAGACGTATTCGGAATGGCACTAGAAGACGCAAGTGACGTCATCCCGAAGGCCAAAACGGCATGGGTATGGGGTGTAAAGACTATTTTACTGTGATATTGCATTAGTAAAGCTGTGGTTATATCGAACCGGTCGTGAGTTAAGGTAACTATTGTGATATTTGGTGATACGTATCGTGTGTGGAGCGGTGAGAGTCGCCGGCCGGCGGCGGCGGGAAGCTGTCAGGGGGAGGGGGAAGGGGAGAAGCTAGCAGTGAAAACGAACGCAAACCAAAACCGGTCGAGTCGGATAAAACTATAGTTATTGTCACTATAACAGTATACACGGAAACTCGCAACTATTGCACTAAAGCCATAATGGAGGCACACCGACACCGAAGTTGCGACGCGTCTCGCCAACGGAATGTACTTTATAGTAATTATCACAAAGACTGAGGAGATCGCGGCGTCGCGGCGTCGCGCGGCCCGAGCCCGCGGGCCCGGCGCCGGCCTCGGCTGCAGTCTACACGTGATCGGGCGGCGCGGGCGGCGCGGCGGGCGGCAGCGGCGGCGGCGAGCCGGCAGGCGGCGTGGGCGTGCCATTGCGCGGCCGCAGCTTGTCGGCACGTAGCCGCTGCACCGCCTCACGCATCTCTGCCGCCAGCTGCCGGTCCGAGCTATCGATACGCGGCCGACGCGCGGGCGGCGGCTCCTCGGGCTCGCCAGCCAGCCGCCGCAGCAGACTGGGTGCCTCGCTCGTCGCCATCGGCGCCCGTGGCTCCGCCAGCCGCTGGATCAGCGGTCTCTCCAGGCTCGACCTTATGATACCCTCGAGGAAGGATCCGTTCGCAGGCGGCGCTTCGTCGCGCAATCGCCTCATCATGTGAGAGGCGTAGAGGTCTGGTGCTGGTGGAGGGGCGAACCCCCCCGCCCAGAACGGGTACCCCGAAGGATAGGCTTCTGGCCCATTGAGCCCGTTCGTGAAAGGTTTAGTTGGAGGCTTCGGCGGTGGTTTGGGTTGCGGCTTTGCTTCCTGCTGCGGCTTTGGCTCCCTTTTTCTCGGCCGCATTAAATGTCGCTCCTTCACTTTGTACTCCAAAGTGGAATGGGGTACGCCGTAGTAGGAACCCGCCCTGTGCACCGACATCTCCCCCCGCTGCACGGCTTTCACCGCCTCGACGAGACTGTCCCTGTCGTAGTTCCTGTATTTGCCTCGCTTGGGGCGCGTGCCCTTTCCGCCGGCCGCCGGTTGTCCGTTGTTGTTGGTAGCGGCGCGCGAGTTACTCGGCGCCGGGTAATTCCTCTGATTGTCTGGTGGCGTCTTTATGACCGACACGTGCCTGTCGGGCGCGCGCATGAAGGGTAGGTCGGGTTGCGGCGGCCTCTCTAGAGGCTGCTGGAATTTCTGACTGATACTTTTAGCTATGACGTCGCTAAGGGATGTAAATAGATGTTGGGTAGAGGGTGGGTCAGCGAAGACCGACGGGAGGAGAAGTTGCGAGGCCTGGTTGAGCGTCGGCTGGGGCGGGGGTATGAGCGGGGTGATGGGGGTGACGGGCGTCGCGGGGGACGGGCTCTTCTCGTCCGGTGGCGGGAAGGTGGGTATCTTGAGTATAACGGAAGGTGGTGAGTCGGTTCGCTCGGGCTCGCTGTCGGGGTCGGAGTCGTGCGACGGGTCGGTGGGGATGCCGCACTTGTTGATCTTATTGCGTAGCGTGGAGCGCGGTATCCTGTAGAGGGCAGCGGCGCGGCGTGTGCCCAGTCGACCCGACTGGATGTCGCGCAGTGCTGACTGCAGCTCCTCCTCGGAGTACGTCCGCCGCGATACGTTGTTAGCGTTGTCCGTCACCGAGCGTTTTAATCTGAAACAAATTGGAATTTGAGACCAAAATCCTCTGTGAGAGGCTGAAAACTGAGTTAAAAACTTTGTTTAGTTTCGAAAGTTGAAACCGTCTATTAATGTTATGGAGACTTAAAAACTTAAGAACTAAATTTTGCAGAAGATATGGATTAAAGTCGCGATCAATAAATGAACCATAATGAACCTTAAACGTGTCCTGGCTTAAGTATGTTAGGCATCATTCACAGAAGCTGGTATTGTCTGTGTCTATTTGATTAAGATAAAGATTTAAGAAGATGAAATTAGATCTGAAGTTCTTCAAAAGTAGAGTAGAAATGTCATTATCGTAAGTAGCAAATATTTCGCGACATAGCAAACATTTTCCTAATCTTATCTAAGGAACGCAAATGTTACGTACAGGCCGAGTGAAATGAATCAGAAAACAATCTAGGTCAACAGCCGGCAATCGGGCGGTCGTCGAAACGCGACGTTTCAAAACGGTCTGTATTAAACCAGAGATAAGCGAAATGCGAAATATTTACTCTTGGACTCACCGATAACGGACTGGCTATGAATGCATCTTTATCTTTTCCTTTCGTCTTTTATTTCCCGACTTTGATTTTTAAAAAATAAACTTTATGCTCCGCAAAATACGGTTGAAAATAAATTGTCGATCGGCATTCGTCTTTAGTTTCATCTTAGGTTTTACTTTCTTATTTTTCTATATTATTGATACGGTATTGCAGTCTTTATTGCATGGTGGTAGGAAATATTTTCGCGTGGTGTGGTCAGGGTCCGCGGCGAGGATGCAAGGTCGATGCACCGGGCGACTATCGCTGCATTTTTATTTGTTTTGGCGAGTCATGCGACCCACATCGCGGGCCCGTCGAATGAATTTATTCAGTTATCGATTGGGCTATCGTGTACTTATAACGACGATGTTGAGACATTGTTCTTGATGACGTGAATCGTTTTGTAAATGTTTTATTCAGTAAAGTGTTGGAAGGATTTAGAAATATCCTAATCTTACGATGTCCTGGTATTGAGCATGTAAATTGAACGATATAACTACGTGCAATCACTGATATACTCTTAATGCAAAGATATATGAATGTTACAACCGAGAGCCTTTTAAACAATGTTAAAAGTGTTGGAATGGTATAGTGTAATTTGGTTATACAGCAGAATCTCGATAAATCAAACCTCGGTAACTTAAAAACCTCTATAATTTCAAAAAATAATATTTTCCCTTCTTATCAGAGCCTAAAACCTCTATAACATAGACCCTTGATAACATAAAACCTATATAACTTAAAATATTTTGTGTTACCCTTGAACTTTAATTGAGGTAACTACTGTATTAACGTTTATTTTGATTTGTTTCTTCCGCGCATCTAATCTGGCTTGTTTTTTTAATTCTCTATTACTTTCTTACAATTAAATGATCGATTTGATGTTTATGAACTTTAACGATAAAATGTCTAACCGATCCCTAATAATGAATCATGGTTAAATAAAAAACTCGTTTGTCCGTCTGATAAGCTAACGTTTTCTTTCGCAATTTGTTTCATAGCTAGGAGCATTGACATTGTTCGATACACATGAGTTCTTTGACATGAAATATATTTATGAATATACTTCAAGTGGCGTACATACATAGATAAATACAAATAGATAGGTTATATTTGAGTAATGACAATTTTGCTTCATTTCAAAAACTTTAGATAAAGTCCTTGTTGTTTAACTAGTTTAGAGTAGTAAGATATGTGTATAGTGCAGGCATTAACAATGGCGTTATTTCCTAATGTATATAAGCAGTGGCTATAATGGCATGCGTATATGCACTACATAAAAACATAACACCGAGTGCCATAAAACATTACAATCCATCATGGCGCCACCTGTCAAAGGTGCATTGACCCCGAAGTCGATCGCTCAGTTTCGTTTTCACAGTTTAATGGGTGCGTTCACTTGAGCATTGTTTGTATAATCCCAGTGCTATGTTACAATAGGAAGTTTGAACGCGACCATTTCAAATGTTGCCATGTTATGGGCAATATATGGTCTATGACTACTGACCATGGAGAATTGTGATTTCCCTAACAAACGCATTGCTTATTGCAATGATTCTGTGTCGTTATCATAAAATGTTTGTTTTATTGTTGTTCAATCGAAGTGAACATACGGAAAAGGAAATTTAAACGATATTGGAACATATGTTCAATAAATATATGACGTTAACCTCAATATGTTAATATAAAGATTATGTTTTAACTAGCTGTTCCCATGCGACTTCATCCGCATAGAGTTTTGAAAATTTTATTTTGTTGTTTACATGTATCAAATTGTCAAAATTGTCAAAATGACATGACGATGACAAACCAGTGCAACCTTGCTTTCTTGATGTTGGCAGCAACTTATGGTCTCTTTCCCACATTAGGGTTTTTATCCAAAATGTTTATCCCCTAAGTTTAATGGCGTGAAAATATATAGCCTAAAGCGGGACGTAAGTGTAATTGCTGACATCCTAAGCAACAAAGAAGTGTGTGTTTACGTTTTATTATAATAGTATAGAAGTATAGATAACAAAGTTGAAATTCAAAACAACATAAGGTAAAAGGTAAAAGTTAGACAGCGATAGTCAATGGGTTAATACTCGTGTAAATAGTGTTCATCTATATTTTTCGAATTAATACAGATAATTTGTTTAGTTTAGTAAAATAGTTCTTTTGCGGATAGTTTTAGCGTGAATGTTTAGGTTATTAAGGTTAGAATTTCGGTCTATAATGGGAAACTTTTTATAGAAGAGTAAATACTCCTAAGAAGCAGTGGTCAACACTATATTATCATTTTAAAAAATATAAAAAATTATCATACAACAAAGAAATATTGTAATACTATTTGTACATTTCTAACCTCAATTAACGACTTCCCCGGCCGTTTCGCGGGCGAATTTCTGAACAAGGGAGAGAAAAAAAAATAGGGAGGTGCCTCAAAAGGCCTCAGGCCAAACTGCCTAATGAGCATTATGGAAGGAATACTGCGTCAAAACCTTCCCTAATAAAAACAAAAGCAGATAATTATACAAATGCTAACCGACAGCCCTACTCAAACATGGCGCCTTTTATTTGTTAGTTTCCTTTTGAATAGCTACAGCATTAATGCGATATGTGTTGATAGTTGATGCCCCCGGCTACCAGGAACAAAGGCCCTCATTACCTTCTACCAGGGACATTGTTGATATAAAATGATACACTAATTCTGACTTACAGTTTTTAACTCAAATCGATGGTGACTTCGACCTCATGTGTTCTCAAAATAAAGTATGCTAGTGGAGAGTTACGTTGCTGTGTTTTTGTGTATATTGTCATCCCTTTCATACTCTTTGACAGAACTATGATAGCAATATGTATTGTTAAGAAGAAAATTAGTACTACGCTGGAGGATTGGCGCATCACTACATTATCGACATAGACGTCGCGTCCCTATCTCACAGCTGTCAATGTCATTAGCCGTATTGGAATAACTCGCCATCCTGTTGGGATCTCTAGCTCTGAGTGTTTATGTTGATATCGCTAGTTACAATTATATGATTTGTTTAAAAGTATTAACACAAATATTGACTGTAATGTTTTCCGTGACTGTACATAATGTTACATTTTGTATGCGACTGTACTTTACTTAAATTGATAACTCATGTAAAAACAGAAGGACGCAGTCATATTGCTTTTAATTTAACTAAACTTTTGCTAAATGGATTGACCATTAGCAACGTGTGACCTTAATTTGATGTAAATTTCACCTACCCACGTACTTATATCGGAGAACCGCATCGCCTAATTTGCTATTTCGCTCCGTTTCTGTGACCGATATTTTTTGCTATGTTTAAATTGCAACAAAAAGAGGTTTAATTCGAAAATAAAATTAGGCTACTAATACTTTAGTCACGATAGTTTATTTCAGTTTTTATCTATATTAAAATGGATAGCGTAGCGTATATCAGTATATCAGTACAAGTATTATAAGAAAAAAATTTTGTGGTGACTCGTGGTTATATCAGCGCATGTTGCCATATCTATGTGCCAATTAGATCCACTGAGGGTTCCGTGAAATTCCGCAGAGGTTTATCCTCTGCTCCCAACTATGTCGTACTTATGGCGATAGCTATGTATTGTAAGCGGCCATAAAGTTTGAATAGTATAATATATTGTCTCACCTGGAATTATCCAAGTTATTGTGGTCCGGGGGCGGGGTGCCGCTCGTGCTGGACGTGGATTTTGCGCTCAGGTCCAGCGGTTGCTCGGCCGATATCGGCGATGAGGTCGGCGCTGGCGGCTTGTCGCATTCAGCCAGCCTACAAAAAGACCAGAGTTAGGAATTCTATTCACTTATACGCTTGTAATACAATTTTTAGCTTTGACTTGAATTTTTAAATTTTCGATTCTAAGTTATGTAATCCGTTAATTTACAACATGAATATTGTTAGTTTTTTGAGAGTACGCACTTAAACTACATCACAACTGTTTAGTCCCGCATTGATCCCTATGAGATTATAGTGCATACACTACTGACTCTTTAGTTGTGCAACTAAACAGTTGTGCGATAGTTTAGTCAAAGGTGTGCGCCCGCTCTTAGTAGTATCGAATTAAACATTATAAAAAGATTTTGACACCATTAAAGTAAAATTAAGGTATAAAACAAGAGTGTCTCACACAAATAGAGCGTGCAACAGGTTTTCGATATAACATTTCGAATACGCTTCTGAGATGTTTGTTCTTAAGATAATGGTTGTATTCTAGATTCGCTCAACAATGTACGTCTGGTCTGAATCTGAGAGACATTGTATGTCTTCAGATACGTCTATGTACAATGTTCTGATACCGATGAACAGAGATGTCGATCAGGAATATCTTGGTACAATTAATATAGGAATCTTGTAGATGAGGTGTATTTGACCAATAATAGAAAAAATAATTTTTAATTCAAAGAAACCTAATAAATAAAGATACATAATTTTTCTATCTATCCATCATCATCTCCTCTGTCGCCGTAAATAACTGATATTTGATTATGAGTTAACAGTTTTTATTTAACAGTTATAACTATAGTTTTAAATATACTTGCATTTTTCTATGTTCACTTTTTTATTTTATTAATAAACTAGCTTTCGCCCGCGACTCTGTGCGTGTGGAATTAAAAAATCAAAACTAAATAGCCTATGTGTTCTTCCAGAATATCCACTACATCTAAGTATGGCAAATTTCGTCGAGATTCGTTCTGCAGTTTAGGCTACACACTCTAAACAAACACCCATCCATCCATCTATCCTTTCGCATTTATAATATGAGTAGGATTTATTTGAGATTGTCGCAAATATTACGCAATTCCTAATTAAACGAACAAAACTTTTACCTTGTTATTTCCATTTGCATGTCTGAATATATCTTTGAATTTGACTGTTCAAACTTGTATAGTATTGTTTAAATGTTCTGTTTTGAATTTGCAAACGAAACGTATTTCAATAGTGTGGAAGCCCAACCGACGGCGACAAAAGGCGTGAAACACTATTGTATAGTTGCAGACTCGTCTGCTTCTTGCGACATATTCTGTGTTTGAAATACAAGTTATGCAATTTCTTGTACAAACAAGCTTGATATTAATGTTCCGAGACGTTTGACCAAATTAAGGTTTTCTTTTAGTCTATACTTAACTCATTTTTTTTTTATAACATAAGGTGGCAAACGAGCAAGCGGCTACCAGAATCCGCCAAAATTGCGAAGCGACCGCTGCCCATAGACATCCGCGATCGCAGATGCGTTGTCTACCTTTATTCGACGGAGGAGTAGACGCACATAAAGAGGATATTGCCCCTTCCTATGCATGTCCTCTACCGTCAAATCCACTTCCCCTTTCCATCCTCTCCTTATAAGAAAAGGGTGGTAAAGAGAAAAGGACTTAAATTAGGCCTCCGGCACCACACTCATCGGACGAAACACGGAATTGCTTCCATTTCAAGCATGTCTTCTGTGTGGTCGTGGTGTTACACCGGGCGTGCCGGCACATTTGTGCTAAGATGTTAAAGCGGGCACTACCACTGTCAAGTGTATCAAGTATCTAAGTTAATAATTTAAAATAAACTACTTAAATATAATACAAAATCAATAAAATAACTATAAAGTATTGTAGATTTACGTCTTCATTCTATTTAAGAGATTTACGAATACCATATCGATGTCATTTAATTCTCCAATAATATAGTGAACGTCTTTACAATACCCGCTTTCTTACCTATAAGGCAGGTGCACAGATATCGCATAGTGCTACCATAAGTTATAATCTTATACGAGACTTCCCATAATAATAAAAATGAACGATGTTTATTCCATTTGAATATAAAATCGACGAGATGTTTATTGTATAGTAACTTCACAATTCTTGTTCAAAAAGTTCGATGTCGTAGAAAATTTTAACAAGCTGTAAATATAGAGTTGTGTATTTTGTGTTGAACAGATACTTGTAATGGAAAAAGTAGGGTAAAGTGGATTTGTTTTTTTATTTAATGATATGTTTTTATGATTACAATAGCTGGTGCGATAAAATAATATCAGTATTGATAAAGATTTTAAGTAATATATTGAAAAACTAGCTGTGGCTTGCGACTTCATCCATGGTAGGATTAAAAATAGCCGATGTTACTAACTGATAACGTAGCTTTTTAATGGTGTAAGAATTTTCTAAATCCTCCTAGTAGTTTTTTTCAATGCGTATATGAATTTAAAAGTAACATGAATGGATAAGATAAGAAATGAGTATATTAGAGGAAGTTTGAGAGTGGCCCCCGTAGTAGAGAAGGTAAGGAGTAAAAGATTAACATGGTATGGACATGTTATGACGAGGGATGAGTCGCATGTTACAAGGAGAACGTTAGTTATGAGTGTGGAAGGGTACATCGGTAGAGGTAGACCTAGAAAGAGATGGATGGATTGTGTAAAAGGTGACATGATCAAAAAGGGAGTGATGACTGAGATGACGTATGATAGAGTTATGTGGAGGACAAAAACCCGTTGCGCCACTACGGGAGTAGGATAAGGAGATGATGATGATATGAATTTAAAAATAAATGATTCAGGTTTAATTTTGTAATTGAATTAGTTATCTACACAATAGTTACACGTTTATGTAATTATGAAAATTTAGAATATACTTAAAGAGATTTCGTTTATTTTATATACCCAGCTTACAATTTTCAATCAAAACGTATACAGTTTATGAAAATCATTTCTTTAATCATAAAAAGCACTCAAAACTAAATTAACTTCAAGTCATTAAAATTTAGCCTCTTTAATTAGTTGCCGTTTATGTCCTAGAAAATCTCAAACTATGGTCAACTTGTATGACGATTGTGCTTTCTCTACCGAGGCAAAAGGAGTGAACATTATTTATCCGAAACACGGTTCCCTCCAGCGGATCTTAGATTGTCGGCGCATCCGCTTTGAGAATCGGCTCCGAGCGGAGAGGGGGGTGAGACCTGTACACGTGTAGTTTGCACTAAGGCGCACTGATTGCTTTCAATGAAACATCTGTTTTGACGAGTGCTATAGACAATAACCGATATTATTCAAAGAATTAAATTCACTGCCAATTTAGTCTTAAATACAACAGATTATGTTATGAGAGATATAAGTGATGTAAGATATATTTTATTGAATTGTCAGCGTCAAGATATTTTACTGAAATGGGAAGGAAATTAACGTCCTCGACTATAACATCAGATATCTTGGAGGCCATAGATAGTTAGATATGATTACGAATAAGCTATAAGCTATAAGTTTAGTATGATAAAAATTGATATACAAATATTGACGAAGAAATCAAAAAAAATACCGACGAATTTCGTAGCTCCTTTTAGAAAGTGAAATCCAAAAATACAAATCTTTCCTCTTTGTAATATTAGTATAGATAAAGATGTAGATGCGGAACTATTTGTATTATTGCAACTAATTTCAAAAATACTTTTTCCATTAGAAAGCTGCATTATCAGTGAGTAACGTAGGCTCCATTGATAACAGATTTTTTGTTATAATTCTTCGGGGACGGACGCGAGCAAAAGCTAGTCTCGAAGAAAGTACATGCGAGAATTTTTTACACATAGTCGTAAGAGTATAGGAGACTTGTATAACCCAAAATGGTACAATGAAAACAAATGAAAACCCACTGATTGTAATTATCGCCGCGGTGGCATTGGCAAGGCGAACAGAACAATGGCGACGTTTTCGTATTTAAATTACAAATTGACGCTAGTATTCGTATGTGTACGCTAAGTTCCACAACCATTGATATTTTAATGATTATATTGTTTTAAAAACTATGTCAATGGCTAATAATTTGACACGAGTTAACGCAAATTTGGACTACAATTTACGCCATTTTAGCAGCGCAGAATTAAAAAAAAGTAACCTATAATATGCCTCTTCATGTCAGCTACAATCCAGTGAAAGTCTCGTTGAAATCGGCCCAGCCGTTTCAGAGGTTACCCGGAACAAACGCGGCTTGCGGACAGATAGACAGACAGACAAAAAAATTTTAAACGCGATTTTCGTTGTCAGCAAAGCAAAATACATCATCTTCATCAATAATGGCCGGTTTCTCAGCTATGTTTATCTATTCGTTAATGTTTTTTGTTCGATAAATTCATATAAGCGTTTCCGAACTGCGTAACTTGAATTTTCCTTTGTTGATACAAAAGTCAACTAACACTAATGAATCACTAGTTATACATAGCTTTATAGGTTAATATGATAAATGCGAAAGTTTAGATGGAAGGATGGATGTTTGTTAGAGTTTGTAGCCTAAACAACTGAATGGATCGTAATGAAATTTGGCATAGATGTAGATGATAGTCTATAAGAATACATAGGCTACTTAGTTTTGTTTGTTTTTAATTTTACGCGAACAATAGCTTCAGAAAACTTCAGAAATTCAGCATAAATTATTTAAACTTTTGACTTAAACAAATTAATGACAATTCCTGTATCTCCGGTGGTGACGGTTAAATGTAATATATAATATATAAATATACGAAAAAAAAACTTACTAAACTTTGTAGTAGTAATCTTTGTTATTGATAAAAAAATTTGAAAACAAATTTATCCGACATATTGACGTAGAAATAGTAAAAGTTTTTTTTATAAGCAAGCGGGCTTCATAAAATGCTAACAACCAGCATTGCAGATTCGTTGATAATCCCAAGGTTGGTATAGGGAAAACTGTTACACTAAGCTATGCTACTACGTAATTTTATTTACAGGCAATTTATGAAAGAACTAACTAGGTATTTATTAATTTGACTGGCGAAGTCGCAGCATGAGGTAATGAATAGGATGAATACGGGGAACGAATTTTTTTTTCACAGTTTTACAGCGACACTTGTAATTCTTGAGTTATAAATGGGCAGACATGATTCTGGTAGCTTATAGAATACGTTATATTTTTTATGTAAAAATGTATTTCTGCTAACTCTAGCGAAAAAAACTTGCGAATGGAAGGTCTGGGAACAGCTGAATACGTGGAAATTGTGGTTTTTGCCTAACATGATATTGAGTAGGGGATGCCTTTAAAGATTTTCATTCCTTAATTACATGTTTTACGTATTTTATTTACTTTTTGAACATTATTAGCACGTTAATTCAATGAGCAGCATTTGGTTATGACGTAATTTCAAAATGGCAGTTGATTTACGCTAAGAAGTACTTAATTAACACGTAAATTGCAACAGAAACAATTTGATCCTCACGTAAACTCGCACTACGAAATAATGTTATTCGACGTGTTGTCCTAAGTATGGGTAATGCTGACAGTTTAAAGCGCTTAGCCTCAGTAGCCATGTTATCACTTTATGTAAAATACCATCAATTTATTATCGATTTTACAAGGAAGCCCCATTTGAAAGATGTCGATTATTCACTCAATCGAGTCAGGTCGACATAGGTGACAGCCGAGACCGGTCCGAACCGGTTCAAACCGGTTTTATATAAGGACAAATGCGGGCTGCGTCTAGTTTTGTGTATTTTAACTAGGGCTAGGTCTGCATAATAAAATAGCTTTAAAACCCAACGTTCGGAAGGTCAACAACTAGACCGCAAACAATAGATAGGGCGAAATATAAGAAGGTTTGCATAGAATCCGACATTCTTTTGAATTGCTTTGTTAACATGCAATAAAATATGCAAAGCACAATTTTGTACTACCAAAAGAAAAACCATAACACGTAACTCATAGAGAATAAGCAATTGTAAAATTTAAAAGAACTAAACTTGATATCAACGAACTTAGATTCTCACAAAACTGCAAAAAACTTACAAAAGATTAAAAAATGCTTGAAGTAGAAGTGTCATCTACCTTGCTCACTTACTCCTCCTATAAACTATATGTTCTATCTCTTTCATGTAACGAATTACACGAACGTGTCGTGTTCTAAATTCAAAACTGACAAAGAAGTTTCATTTCAAAAATTATTTTTAATGTCTAACGTGTTACGGAAGGAGCAATGTCTTTGCCATGCACATCTGCTGAAGTCATCGACCATAATTGCCCCCTTGTTACATTGTAACCATGTCTTTGACCACATAGCCTTCTCATAGCTATCATTATGAAGCTAAGGAAAAAATAACAAATTAGAAAGGTGGATTGTTTTCTAAATTCTGCTAACTGATTTGGAAAGTTCCAAGTCTTTTTGACATAAGTAAATTTTTAAAAGTCTATTTCTGTGTGTGTAAACGGAGCGATCTTTATTAATATTTAAAACATATTAGCAATCGTTATTCGTTCTCATGTCTAATACAATAGGGGCTCTTCTACTTAATCAAAGCTAAATCTAACAGATTTTACTGTAAGAATGCAATGCCTTTTACGTCTTTCACCCTTTTTATATTTATTAGTACACCGTGTTTTGTTCCGTGGCTTTATTTTACCACGAAAGATTCAACACCGAACTGATGCTAGTCGCGTGCTAAAGCTAGTCTGTATTAATATTATAAATTGTATAGATTTGGATTTTTCTATTTTTTTACGTATTGAAATAACTAAAAAGTACTGGGCCGATTTCAAATTCCTGCATCATTAAAAAGCTACGTTATCAGCGAGTAACACATATTATTATTATTATTTTTATTTCCACGCGGACGGAGTCTCGAGCATCAGCTAGCAGTAAATAAAAAGAGGACGCATTAGATATCTCCTCCAAGGCGCTATTTAGTCTAAAACCAGCACTATTGTGTACATACCTGTCTGGTTGTTGCCTGGTCTGGGCGAGTCGCTGTATAAGCCAGGCTTGCGGCAGCGGCGGCGGCACAAGCCCGCTGCCTAACGCCGCCAGCGCCGCCAGCATCTGCTGGAACTACAAACACCGATACATGTAGGCAGTCTTTTTTTTATAATGTAAGGTAGCAAACAAGCAAGCAGCCACCTGAATCCACCGAAATGGAAAACGACCGTTGCCCATAAACATCTGCGATTGCAGATGCGTTGCCTACTCTTAATTGACGGAGGAGGAGACGCACATAAAGAGAACTTTTCTCCTTCCTATGCGTTTCCTCCACCACTAAAATTAAGCCTTCCGTACCACACTCATCAGACAAAACGCGGAATTGCTTCCATTTCATTCTGTGTGGTCGTGGTATTGCACCGGGCAAGCCGGCACATTCGTGCAAAGATGTTAAAGCGGGCTTTACCACTGTTAAAGTTTTGTCTAATACTTGTCACTTATTTACAATAATAATAGCAAACGAGCACTAGGACCATCAGACATCAAAGATATCCCTAATACTAAAGCAGTTTCCCTGGTGTTTTGGGTGTCTGATGAGTTAGATCGTTTTAATTATCTTACTGTTTGTTTCGATCAAATTTATTAATTAAAATAAAAAAATGGTTAAAAACCTAACATTACAGTTCTAATAAAAGTTTGATGTTTGTATTTTTTGCAGGATTTTTATTATATAGATTTAAAATTTAAAATTGTTGAAGTTCAATCTTTTATCGTTGAAAAGAATATTAATTGTAAGAAAAATAAATCACAAGTTGCACTGATTGTGCATATTTGTGCATTTTATGAACAAAAAATGATCAGTTTAAAATCAAACGAGCGCTGTATCAAGGGTGTGCATTGGAGTGGCCAATCGCGCTACAGTGAATGATGAAAACATTTAATGTGCTGCGCTGGCGGTGCTTTCAGTTCATCTTTCAGCTATAGAATCAAAAGTAGCGCGTAATACCACTTTCTGATTCAACTCTTTTTCCTCCGACACCCCCGTTCATACGTGTCATCAGACAAAGAAGGGTTAGAAACGCGAATGCCTAAGTATTTGCGTTAATGCTTTGTGCTCTGCCATATGTTTTGTAAATGACACATCCTGGGAGACCCTACTGTATGTGCTTTTGCGATTTTATAATTACCATGTACTGGTACATAGGTATTTGTTATTTCACAAGAATTTATGTCTTGTTAAATGTTAGTTTGTTTTTCTGTTACATATTTTCAAAAGCAATCGTAATAAGATGCTTTTAAACTTTGATATGCTGGACAGATTGAAGTTTCTAAAATTTATTAAGGATGTGAATGTGATTATAGAACAAAAAAGACGACTTATTAGACGACGAGTAGAAAACTCTAGAACTTTAGCTGCAGCGTTTAAAATCAATAGTGAAAAATTTAACGTATACTAAGGGAAAACTCTAAATGCGGCTGAATGGTGAGAAGGCTGGATATTGCAATAAAGATAAATACCTTTAGTGTAAAGAGTATGTATGTTATGTTACCTGTGCAATGGCCTGCGGGGTCTGTGCTTGTAGCTGTAACTGCAGCATTTGCTGCAGCAGCGGCGGCGCGGCGGCCGGGCTACGAGCGCCCGACACTGAACTACTATCCGACTCCGACGCTGGACTCTGTAACAAAACTTTGATATTTCAATAGGGCAATAGTTAAGGTGTCTTTCTGTCTAGTGGATGTTGACATTTCATCTGCCGAAATACCATACATAATTATAGCTAACTTTGTTTTCACAAAGAACGATAACGTTCATGTCTTGAAAGTCCGAAAGTCTGTTTCTTCATTGAAAGATTGTTTTGGCATTTCGTCTATTGATTACTTTTCTTAATATTTCTAAATACTGCATTAAATTACTCAATAGTTAATAAGAGACCCCTTAGTAAAGATTTTCAGGGACTGTTATGAGAGTAAGGCGTATTATGAGAAGAATATCATAAGATTGTTTGTAAATCCAGATGTAGGATTTTTTTTAACATAAATAAACCAGCGCTTGACCACGACTTCACCTAACCTAAGTGAAGACGCGGCCGAAGGATAGAGCGCGCTAGCTCAATTAGTGCCGATTTACCCTGCTTTTGAAAGCACCCACGTTATAACTGGATGTTTAGGATGTTTTGTATTTGGCACTTTCCAAGATCTACGAACACATTTCGTCTTTATATCATACATTTTGAAATGTTTTGAAATCACTGCTTGTTAGAAATAGAAAAAGACTTTCTCAAAATGTAAATTATTGACCCTACTATGTTAGAAACGTGAAAAATCTAAGCAAAGAAAATGGTAAAATGGAGTGATTTAAATACACACACGTTCTTTCTAAAGAAATTTATAAATATATCACTCAACATTTTTCAGGTGCGAGATATGAATAAAAAAATCTTTGGCAACGAAATTTTGAAAGCACTCAACCTAGATTCAGCATATAGTAATAAAGTGCTGGCGGCGTGTAGACTTTCTACATCGGAGCATGCTCGTAATTAGAGCCTCTGTGGTACACTGGCATTGGTCATAGACTAAATATGTTTAGATTTTTTTTAATCATACATTCGGCGACTTCTTACCAGCCAGTCTTAAATCTATAGAATTCAATTAATTTCAATCTTAAAGTATTATTTTTTAATGAATTCAATTAATTAATTTATTATGTTAAATTTAATTTTTTAGCTGAATAATTGGTAATTCAGTTGTACAGTTTAAAATATGACTTTTAGATGATAGATTAAAAATGAACACGTGTGTAATAAAACATGTCAGTTATCAGAAAATAACTGGCCATAACAATAGTTGCATGCGAATAATATAATTAAAGTAAAAAAGAAACAAAAAAGTATGGTGACACGTTTGATGAGGAAACATAAATAGCATTTCAAGGTGAGTTCCGTGTCAGGGGAAATATATGTGATGCCATTTTATATTCAGTTGTTGTTTGTCTTTTTTTGAAAATAGATAACGATGTTAATTTAATAAGAACATTAACAAAATTACATAGAAATTAACGACTCCAGGTTCGTTCGCATGGGTCAATTGCTGATATGAAAATGTGTTTTTTTTACGTCACATAAGAAACATTTAAAATTATTTTACTATTATAATATTATAATATTATAAATGCGGAAGTTTAGATAGATGTTTGTTAGAGTTTGTAGCATAAACGGCGAAAGGGATCTTGATGAAATTTGGCATAGATGTAGAGGGTAGTCTGGAAGAACACATATAGGCTACTTGCATTTTTTTAGTCTGCGCGGACGGAGTCACGGGCGAAAGCTAGTCATTAATAATTATTAAGATTATTGGTCGGTCCTGATCTACATAGTGAACTTGTCTTTGAGGAGCTGGTCATAAATCCTCAACATTATGATATGTCCTGCGTAACATTATAGACAACTGACTGTTCGAGAAAAATCTATTAGTATTTCTCTACTATAGTTGACTTTGTTTTATGCAATGTAGTGATTAATTTACTTTCGAACTTTCCCTTGATTGTCAAATTTACTAGGAACGTGATGACGTTTTATTAAATCATCAGTGTAAAGTATTACTCCTCCTCCGTCAATTAAGGGTAGGTAACGCATCTGCAATTGCGGATGTCTATGGACAGCGGTCGCTTTCCATTTCGGTGGATTCAGGTGGCCGCTTGCGAGTTTGCCTTATATTATAAAAAAAATAGTTCCCAAATTAATTTAATGAATAAATAAAGATTGTTAACGTTATAGGTTAATGTCATATATTCGGATAATTAAGAATTATCGTGTATTTTTATGTGTTAGTTTTTATTAATGCATGTATATTTTGAAGGATACATGGTTACCGTAGCTACTACATTTTTGAATTAACTAACAACTAAAAAGAAAAATATACATATGAATTGAGTACCTCCTTCTTTTGGAAAGTCGGTCAAAAATTGAACACAGCTTGTCAAAGATTAGTTATGTTATTACAATTATTAAAAAATCTGTTTTAATATAAATCTAATTCTGTTTTATCTGTATTACGCAATTCAACTGTCATTTTCATCATCGTCTATTGAAGGTTAGTTTTTTATTTGAATCAATTTTCCTGTCGTTTCGCGAAATGTTTTCCGTTTACAAATTCTTACGTCAATAATAAGGAAAATTTCTTGTTTTGAAACTAAGTGAGAAAATTCGTATTCGGCGACTCAAGGAAATACTTTATTTTATAATCTAATTTGAAAACTGAAATACCAGCCAGTGCGTTATATTTACAAGATTTAAGGCAGGTTTATTTAAAACGAGCAGCCCGCAACCTTTGTTAGCGCAAATTTGGACCACCCGTTACGCGATTTTGACAGCGCGAAATTAAATAAAGTAGCCTATACTATGCCTATCCATGTCAGCTATCTTCCAGTGGGAGTCCCGATGAAATCGGCCCAGCCTTTACGAAGATTACCCAGAATATACTAATAGCAACGCAAATATTTACATCTTCCCGAAATCTGGAATTTTTCTTTTGATATTGCAGACAATCCAATTTTATTACATGTATAAGACGAAATTCAGGCAAAGAATTTTTACAGTTATGCCATTTGAATTCATTAGTATTGTTTGAAATATGCTATCATAAATGTAGTCCAAGTATATTTGTTACGCATAATGTTATAAAGTTTTTGTTCGGATCATATTTTTTTCGACGTCGACAAGAGAAATTGCAAACAATATTATTGTTTGGTGTGGAGGAGCGTATGAACAGTCGCTGTTGCGTTCCCTATTTTAGTAGGATTTTGTATAGAGAACAAATTTTCAGTTTTGCATCAGAGCATAAGTTGAAAGAAGAAGGGACAAAGGCCTACATCCCTTAATGACTGTATGTAGAAAGTCACATATCTTTTAAAACCCGTAAAGGCCACAATACTTCATATTTTATTAAAATGAAAATCTTTTTTTTTTATTTTTTTATAAGAGTTGTTACTGGCAAACGAGAATGATATCGAATGTTAAGTTGTATTTTAGAAAATACCGTAGAATACGAATTTCTAAATATTTTTTCAAATAAAACTAATAATCGGTTTGTCTATACGATATAAATACGTCAGATACCTATTTATATGAGGTTTTTCGTTTCGAAATAAATATATAACTTACTTATTTCTTTACGTCTCAATACTTTATACGATTTTTTATTATGTCATATTAAGAGTTATAATATAAACAACTAGCTGTTGCTTGCGACTTCGCCCGCGTGAAATAAAATAAAATATAGCCTATGATCTTGACTAATAACGTAGCTTTTAAATGGTGAAGAATTTTTTAAATAGGCCCAGTATTTCTGAGTTATTTCAATACATAAAGAAATCCAAAAATACATATCTTTCCTCTTTATAATATTTGTAAAGAAAATATAAATAATATAGATATAACTGGCAACTTACATCACTGTGAATCTAAAAAACAAAATACATATAACAAAAAGTACACCGGAGCGACCAGTTGGGCTCACCTTGACGTTTTGCTAATCACGTCCACCTTGAATATTAACTAACAGATTGTTTAGCCGCCACGTGAACTAAACTAACTATATTTATGTAAGGAAACAAGATGCACAATTGCGCACTAACGAATTGACTTGAAGGTATGTGGGAAAAGGCACAGATGGAAATATATGACGCTAAGAGCTTACTTAGATTTTTACCAATATTTTGTTAAACTACAAATCAAGGATATCAAAAATAGGAACTTTTAAGAGAGAAACTGCTTATTTTTTAAAGATACTATATTATTACATGTTTGTGTATATTTAATTTAATTCTATTTAATGTTAAATACGTGTTTCTGATAGACTGAAAGTATGCGTCTTCCGATTCTCTAGCGAATGGACATCAAAATGTCTAAATAGCCAAAAAGTGACTAATGTGGTTTAAAGTTAACATTTGGACTCTTTTCACGGTATTTTACTGTTTTAAATTAAAGTCATTTGTAATAATTTTGAACACGCATATTGTGAAAATTTTATTATTCTTAAAGTTTTCGTAGAATTGCTAAACTAAACAGCAATTTACTAATTAGAGTTTTTCTTACTAATTAGAGTTAAATTTTGGTTCTCTATAGATTTTTTTTTGAAAAAAGAACAATTCGTTTTTCAATTGTTACAAAATTTTTGAGCTGATCACACATTTTTGTAGAACACAGATTGCGAACACAGATATTTTAGTCGACCATTAAAAATATCGCTTGTTTTACAAAAACCGGAACAACAGAAATGCTCTATACAACTATTGAAAATGCGTTTTTTTCGGTAACTACACAAAAGAGGTTTTTAATGTGGAACAAACACAATTCTATAGGTTTTGTAATATCTGTACTTTTTTGTTAGATTAATAAGAAAAATGTGATGTAATTTTTAAAGTATTTCACGTAATTGTAAATGAAAAACAACATAGAGGTAATTGATTAACAAAGGATATGGTAAATTATATGTAGTTTATGTATCAGTACGAGTTATGGACAAATATGGTAGTAGTTAATTGATTTGGTATTACAGTAACGAATGGAAATTCTGACATTTTGCTAGCGAAAAAAATGCTGTTAGAAGAAACCTGCGTCTACTATACGTCATCCGGGGTATTACATTCCATAAAAGGGAACAGGAAAAATGTATTTTA